TGAAGCAAATTGATTTTTATATTGACCATTAATCTATTACGACAATATTTCGAATGGATATATAAGAACTGATTAGCTTATTTAGCAATACTTAGATATATTTCGATTCCTTAGCTCAGTTTGACTTCACTTTCTTTATATAAACCATTCTCGAACCCATTTCGTCTGCTCCAGTTCCATAACAATTTGAAACTCTATATTATAATCACACTCTGGCTACTTGGCATAAATCTTGTCTCAGCTTGTCTTATCTCAATATATGTATCGTTCTACACCTCTTATCACGCACACATCTCTAATGCCAACAATTGTTTGACTTGTCCCGGTTGAGGGCAGCCCACATATCATTTTGGCAGCCCAACGACTTTAACTTATGCTCTTATTCGTAAATAAATTGCGCACATATCAACGCGTTTGCATAAACTAAATCAAAAGTTTAATGTAGCATGGCGTCTACCCAAAATATTTACACACATTCACACACACACACACACATGCACACACCCAAGCGTCGCGCCCGCTTTGAATGTGAATTGCGCTGATTTTTGTGATTTTACCCCAGTTTCGATTGGAGTGCAGAGCACGAAGTGGCTAGAAGTATTTCCGTGCGATTACAAACGGAAGTTTTGACACGTGTCAACACACATACACACACTCGTACAGGCTCAAGTGTGTGTCAGCCAATGTAATAAAAACAAACACCCAGTGCAGGCAGTTAAGAGAAACCAAAAACGTTGCTGATTGAATTTTGATTTATATACTAAAGAGCGAGAGGGAGAGGGAGTGAAGCAGAGTGAGTGAGAGACGAGGGGAAAAGTGTGAGCGAGCTAGCTAGAGTGCGGGCTTCTCCTTCTCTCAGGTCAAGTGTCAGTCCCAGGTTAAAGGCCTCACCTACCATCTTCGACTCTAATGAAGTTGTGCCGTCGGCCACTTCAATCAGAAATTCCCCAAAAGAGCAATGGATATAAAAAATAGAATCTCTCGGCCAATCATGTACACAAAATATTTCTTTTTTGCTGCATCATCTTAGAAATTAGTCAAAAATACAATAACAAAAAAAAAAAAAAGAGAGACTAGAAAAAAGATCGTATACTACACACACACACACACATACACACGCAGACCTATACATCCAACAAGATGCTGGAATATGGCGTCTTTGGCCCGAAAATCGAATCAAACATTTTAATTACCTTTCAATGAGTGTGCAAAAGAAATTTGTCTGTTCAATAAACTCAACAAAAAAACGAAAACAACAAAAATCAAGCGCAATAAATCGAATATCACAAATGATTTGTATTTCAATTGTGTATCAATTTCAAGCTCATTAAATTTTTTGAATATTCATCCGAATTTCCATGTATATATGTATATCTGTGTGTGTGTGTGTGTGTGTGTGGGAGTAAATGAGTTTTATTAGCTCTAAAATGAACTCGCTTTAGACAGTAAACTTTTATTAGCTAAATTCACGCTTCTAAGTTTTTATTTAGGCAATAGAATATAGAATTTAAAAATTCTCTTATAATTATTTGTTTTTAATTTTAACAAAAATTATTTATTGATTCAGTCAGCTTTTTTTTCGCTTTGTATTTCAAAATTAATGTGCTCAATATATTTTTCGCTTGAGCTGGTCTTGTCCTCGCTTCTTTTTGTGAGATTAACGTCAACACTCCGGATCAACATTTATTTTATTTCGTTGTTTTATTTATATATTTTTTAGTTTTATGAATAATACTCGCGTCTAAGCCATATTAATGGGTTGAAGTTGCGATAGCGAGTAGAATCAGGAAAATATCTGCCTGGAAATATGAAAGGAATAAAAATATAAATAAATAGTTTAGCAGACTTTCCGAAGCTTCTGTTACCCGTCTAAGTAATATGTAATTTCGATTCAGAATACCTTAGTTATACAGTAGTTTTCTTTTCAAGCTCTTACGCCAGCATTCACACAAATGTCGACAGCGTGTTTAGTTCATTATAAACAGCAAAGGTTTTAGTGTCTCTAGCGAGCATTAAAAACAATTAAACAAGCAATTAAAAACACTTATTGCATTGTTGTTAGCAGAGAACCCAACCGAAGCGAATGTGGCACATGTAAGCCGAGTATCGAACCCAAATATAATTGCTTTAAAATTGCGCCACTCGTTTTAATAAACCAAACACAAAAGCCATTTGAAGCAAAAACAACAACAACAACAGCTCAATAATGTTTTTTTTTTTTTTTTTTTTTTTTTTTTTTTTTTTTTTTTTTTTTTTTTTTTTTTT